CGTTTTATCCATGATCAGGCTGTGGCTAGCGGTCGGTTCTCCGTTTACCAATAGAGATATTCCAAACATTCTAGTGATTGTGATTACTTTTATGCTATTTCTACTACACACAATGATGAATACTGCGAACCACTTGATGTTAATCTGCTTTAAGGCCTCGCCCGAGGTAAGAAACATTTCAGATACATTTGAATACGAACACAGGACATTCCAAAGATATAAAATTTTACATTGCTTTTTCTCATTTTGATTTCCAATAGCAGAAGTTCAAAAACATCGGAAAGCATACGGATAACATGAGATCTATTCTCATGTCCACTTGTATAGTAATAATAATTTTCAATTTTTTCATTCCAATCTGGCCACTAGATATGAAAGAGTATTTTACTCTTACTTCTCTTATATTTTTATCAGGTAATGATTTAATATTTAATATGAATAATTCTTTTCACAATATCAAAGAACTAAACAAATGAATTTTCCAAAGGATATTGTAATTACTTGCTTTCAGTATCGCGCGAGGCTGTGTGCGCAATTACAAAACGAATCGAAATGTTCAGGAATAAGGAAATATGGATTTTATCTTACTGTTATGTTTGGGAATCAGCACCTATTCATAGAGATATGATATTTACCATGTTCTCAGAACCCATGTGGAACATGGATTATACGAAGTTTAAGAAGTTAGAAAAAGATGGAAAAATAGGACGATCGTTTCTAGATGGCGAAGATGTCTTTCCTTATTTATGCTTCAATTTCTGTATTGCTCTCTTCTTAGAAGGTGAAGAAAAATTACATTTTCACTTTTACCTCATTTCGAAACCATTATTTTTCAAATTTCATTTTGAATTTCAGTTCGAGATTATTACTTGGCCTATTTCCAAATCCCGTTAAATCCTGCGATCTTAGAGCCAATTGTCAAAGAAACTAATGATCAGTCTTCAATCGTATGAAGTCATGTTTAAGGCGGCAGACTCATTTTTATCGATCACATTTCAACTGACTTTAACCTAAATTTTGAGAATGTCTTAAATTTTACAAATCAATTTTACAAATAAAAATACACAAAAAATAAAGAAAAAAATGAAATGGTATTGGTTAGACTATTGGCTTTTATTCCAACAAAAGCAAACATTTTCTTCCGGAATGAAGCTGAAGTTGACAGCAAAACTTACTTAGCTTATTTCATGCAAGTATCACATTCCAACCGCTTAGATGGAATAAAACCATGATCTGCGTACGCAACGTTTAATATTGTTACATCGGTTGATAGCTTACATTTAAACTGACTAAAAATATTTTCGAATTAAATCGTCGGTGAGCAAGTACTGATTTTTCATTCGTTTCAATCGTCGTATGGTGGATTCAAGAGCAGAAACACTTGTTAAATTCTAATTTGAATATAGATATGAAATATAGACAATGAAACATGATCTCAAATTAATTATTGTATATTACGCCAACAAGAGAGAGCGAGAATATAAATGCTTTGAAAAAAATGCTCTAGCAAAAATATTATCGAGAGAACAAGACAGTTTTCTCTGATTCGATGGGAAATGCACGTGTTAAACAGCCCTGATAACAGAAGTAAACCACACTAGAACGTTATTTATGAAGTCAAACCCGTTACGATAGTTCCCCTCGTCCTCTTCGGTTTTACCTCATATTTATAATATATTTAGTTTCTACATTTAATTTGAATTTAGAGCACCTGCACAGACGCCAAATCATTTTTTGAGTTAATGGCAATGGATCTGGAAGTATTGATGGATATTTCATCATTTTAAACATTCTTAGCCGTACGTGATATTGGGTTTTTTCCTGCTTTCTTCACTCAAAAATTGCTGAGTGAGCAGCTACGAACCAAATAAGAAATAAATTATTTCAAAATTAACGACTAATGGATAATTATAGCACAAGATTCGACGAGAAGAATAGGGCAATTTCAATATTCCACTTTCAAATTATGAAATTATCAGTAATTATAAATGAAATTTCATCAAATCCTGTTGGATGTTTTCAGTATATGTTTTACTGAGATGCTCTACATTTCTTTGTTATTCTCATTGACAATAGAAATGTAATAATTATCGTATATTTTTTTAATGATTGCTTTGTATTATGCTGTCATATGTCATCCAATCGACTGCTTGGATGTATTTGTGTGTGTGATATACGGTGCACGTGCGTATGTGTACTTACATAGACGCGTGAGACTTCTATCATACGTGAAATTTATACGAATTCCGCATAGCAATGCGTCACCGTATCTAAATGGCCATTTGTACGCAATTGATGCGGATGGATTTTTGCCGTTGACAAGTTTTGATTTTTTCCTTTGACAATGTTTGTTTCTCAAAACCAATTTTCCCATAATTTGTTTAAATTAAACAAAATACCGGAATACTTTTTGTGAAAAATATTTGGTATATTTGATTGCTGTGTGCTATTTGTTGCTTAATTTATGGTTCACTCCATGAAATAGTAATAAATTAATTTAGTCTATGTTTACGCGCATTAAAAACAACAAACCAAGGAAAATCAAAAGCAATAATACTTATGTAATTCGACTTTAAATAAAAACACACTATAGAAAATTACTGGTCATTGTTTTATTGCTGGAGCAACTGTTTGATTCGATATGAAGGATTGGAGCTGAAACTAAGGATTTTTTTTCGAAGCATTTTACGCAGGATTTGCTTCGAATCATCCAAATTAGGTTCCTCTCAGGATTCAACAGTCTATTGAAAACAATGTTGAATTCAAATATGCCCGTGAATCTCTACAAAATAGATTTTATCCAAATCTGATTCATTATCACAATCAAATTAACATGATTTTTGTTAGATATAAAACCTAAGATCTCCGTAAACGGAAAAAATAAAACGAAAACATTTTAATCAGAAAGATACAAAATGTTTGTCGAAATCGTATATGTTCATTGTTTGGAATAGTGAGTTTCCCTCATTAAAAGTTGGAACGTGACATGCGCGAATGCGGGCGATATACATAAAGACAAGTTGATATGGGTGTGAGTGTGTTGTTCAAATGTAAACATGCTGTGTTTGGAATTGTTCAGTTTATTACAATAAAAGAAATGAAGAAATATTTCAAGATTATTATCGAAGTAGTGAGAAAATTAGTACCCAAATTCCATTTTTGGATTTTCTTTGGATCATGTGTGACATGTGGCATATTGGCGTATCATGAATTAATGGTATTCAATTTTGATATATTCTTCTCATTGCATTCACATATTAGTGATTGAATTGTCGATTTTACAGCAAAAACACACGGCTGATCAGAGTTCATTCCCCGGTTGGACGGCTTTTGGGCTACTCGCAGGTATTACAGTTTCAATTACAAACGCTTAATTCACCTAATCTTAGTAGAAATAAAATTCGGCACTCGCGCCCGCTGTCGCTGGCTGTGATAGTTTAATCGAAGGCACAAATTCAAAGCAATATACAACCCAGAAACACTCGTGGATCGCAAAATTTTTTCATTCAAACCCATCAAACATTTTACAGTTATCTTCTCATATTTCGACTGTGGATCCATACTGATTGTTTGCCAATTTGTGCTGTGCGAATTATGGACCATTTTAGGTTTGATTACTCTATGGACAGAGTCATCGTTCCACGATCCAGACATTTGGAGCATTTTAGTCGCTATGATGTTTATTGTTCTACTACTTTTCTATATGATTATGATTACCGTACGTCACTTGATGTTTATGAACCATATAATTTGCAAGGTAAACATAGGATTCGAAGGCAAAAAAGCATTAAAATGATGCAGTAGCGCAAAGTCAATTTTGTGAACAACACTTTGTTTTTTTTCAACAATTGTTATTAAATTTTTCATATTCAATTTCACTTTTATTTCATTGCAGACACATGAAAATTTGCTGAAGTCCACAAACTTATCAAGATCCATAATGTTGATCATTTGTCTACTAACGCTAAGTGGCGAAGTACTCGTCCAAATTGGTTCAGTCGATTTTCGGCAATTCGCGATACTACATTTGATTGTTATTGTAATAGGTCTGTAATATTTCTGTCTTTGTTTTAATTTGTTGTCTTTTTTTTTGATACTATTTAAAATTAAATTCAATAAATAAATACTGATACTATTTAAAATTAAATTCGAAAATTCAACGAATGTCTTTTCTACAGGCATCGTTAATGCAAATCTATCAACAGAGTTGCCAAAACCATATTGGATTAATGCCACATTAAATACATTATTTATGAAATCAAACCCGTTGCGGTATTTTCCTCTCGTCCTCTTGTGCATTGCCTCTTACGTAAGAGATCTCATAATTGGAATGTATTTAGTGTCAACGTTTGATTTGGATTTGGAGCAGCTGCATAGACGTCGAATCATTTTCCGAGTTAATGGCAATGGAACTGGAAGTATTGGCTCATGTTTCATCATTTTGAATATTCTGTGCCGTAAGTGATGTTGATTTTTTTTCCTCTTGCTTTCATTTTGAATAGTCAAAAATATCAATTTATATTCCAAAATCTAACATTGTTTCTTTTCAGTTCGAGACTACATCATGCATCTTAAAATGAAACGAATTTATAACAAAGCATTAGCTCCAAAACCAAAACCAAAACCAAAAGTTAAAGCTGGGGAGATTTATCATCCAAAAATTCGTTGAATTCGGCCGGCCTTCGTGTTTATTCAAAACATGCCTTTGGCAGCTAAACCAATTGGTCAGCAACTACGAGCCAAATAAGAATTAAAGTAATTCACAATTAATGGCTCCTGGATACTGATAGTACAAATTTTGACGAGGAGAAAATGCAATTTCAATGCCCCTCTTTCAGTTTGAAATTATTTGGAATTTCATGTACTGAAATGTAATTGAAAAATAATTTTTCTACATAAATAATAAAGAAATCAACAAACCATGTTCTTCATAATATTTAGTATTTATTTTACTTCAGATGTTCTTCATTCTTTTACAAATAAAAATGGTATTAACTGACATTTTTTCGTATAAATAGACTTGTGGTCAATAAAAGTTTGAAATTGAAAATGGCATAAAGAACGACTGTCACCGTTTGCAATGTTGAATTGTGTTGTTGATAGTTATGTTGGGATATGCGCAGAAGCAGCGTTTCAAACGAAGGTACATCATGTTAAATGTAAACATTTGACGTAAATACGCTTTGTTTTTGCGGGTGGCATTGTTTGATTTGTTACCGATTCTCTTGCTAACACAGGAAAAAATGAAAACATTTTTCAATATTAGCTTTAAAAAATGTTGCGAGGAAATTCAGTTTTGGACTGCGTTCGTAGCATGTATCGCATGTGGTGTTTTTGCATACCATGAAGTTGTGGTAATATGAAATAGATTCATTGTGAAATAGAAACAATTAAATAGTAAAAATAATTTGAAAACCAATAAATTCTTTATTTATTGTAGCAAGAATATG